AGCAAACCGTAATAATCCTTGAGATCAATTGAAAGAAATGAAAACAAGAACTAGAATTAGGGGAGAAGCATTAGAAACCTTTATTGATAATATTTGTTTGGTCTGCCTCTCCATGAAGAGGTTCAGAGCCTTACAATGGTGTTTTTCTCCTTCCATAAGAGGGGTATATTTTCTCGTTTCTCTCTCCTCTCACTAGTGGTGAAGAAGCCCCCCTTTTCTAGGGTCCCTTCTTCTTGGTATTTATAGCTGTGGCTTCGGTGAGCTGTTCAATAAGGTGGCCGTGACCACGTTGAGATCTCGCCTTTATAGTGGGCGGATAGGCCAGGGCCTTTGTTGACCGAGCCAGGGCGGGTTGAACGTCGTCAATTATCAGTGGTCGTGCCACTAATTAATCGTGAATTAACTTAAAACGGGATTAGCCTCGTTAATTATCGTGGGGTCGGATTCTGACCCATACAGAAATCTTCTTGACATTTGTTGACCTTGTATGTGAAAGAACAAATACATTGAAATTATCTGTTACCTTGTTCAAAAATAAAATAAAATTGAAATCATGTGTAAAAGTAGTTTTTGCTCATGTAGCTGTTACAAGATTGGTTTTTGTCGATTTTGGGTCTTGTAACTTGTTACTCCTTAGCAAAATCTTTGTGCTAGGGACTACTTTTATCAATATATTGGAATCTGTTACCTTCTCAAAAAAAATAGTTTTCGCCCATGAGACTCTGAATGTTTCTCTCAAAAGGAATTTGCAATACAAAACTTAAGGATGTTGATAAATTTTAGAGGATATGAAATTTGTAAATAACTACGCTTCCTACCAAATATCCAAAACAATTAGAAGGTCAATTAACTCAGTGATATCAACAAGAGAATTCAAAAGTTGGATTGAATCATGATTAGATGGGACATTGAAGTCACATCAAGATTTGACAAGCCTAACAGAGTCAGAGAAGGGAATAGCCATGCTCTTTCCTTTATCTATAATTGGGAAAAGATTGGTAGGGCAAGATGTAGAATTAGCAGAGTGCTGTGCAGCTAGCTCTAGGAAGGAACGAGATAGACAGTTGATCTTTAATCAAGCGCGGAAAAAATAAAAGAATTGAAGGTGTACATATTATCATATTGGGATAATTCTGCAGCCAAATGGAGCTATCTATGTCCTCTTTTTGTTTTAACTATTTTTGCTGCTTTGCTGGCAATGAGACTTGTCCCACTAAGGAAGATATGAAAACTGTGTTGGTAGTTGGTAAAGAACCACCCAAGCAACATATGATGCCTGCTCTATCAACATAATCGGACAACATGATCCTTCTAACTTTGGTGAATCTTCTATTAGGAACGGAGAATTACATTCTTTGTCTTCAAATATGTTTTATCCTGTATCATGAAGTCTTTTGTTTGCTTAGCTGTCTAACCAAGTAAAGACAATTATTTAGCGACCTTTATCGCATGCAGTTATAAAGAATCAGTTGATGTTGATTATGAGATTGGACAACCAAAGTAAACAAAAGAGAGATATGTCGAAATGAAAGGAAGAAATCTTGATGCGAAGAAGACGATGAATGCAATTTGCTTTAGGCATATTTTTCCATTTGTGAAATATTCATTGACTTTTATGGTTAGTTCACTTCTTAATACGTGATACATTTTCCGTTTTGTTTACAGGTGGAGGTCATAGCTGCTTTAAGGACAGTGATGAAGCAAGGATCAGAGCAAGAAGAAAGAAGTTCTGGGAGAAGGCCGTTGATATTGAGGAACTTTGTGGTCCCGGTGAAGCTTGGTGGGGAGTGAAAGGGCAGATGCGGGATGATTTTAACCACAGCAATAAAGCCATTTCTTATTCAGAACATTTCAAAAATAGCAGGTTTGTAGAGTCAGTGTTAGATGTTTACTGGGAGCTTCCTCCTGTGGCTGGTCCTTCATTAACTCATCAGACGAGATATGATCCGGCTCGTGCATCAACTCCTATTGTTGAAGATGGCAGATATGGCTTGTTTCGGAGGCTTGGCTTATCTAGACTGGAGGCATCTGTATTCAATGGTTACACTCAAATGGTCTATCTTCAGGTGTCACAAGAATGAGATTTTGGTTGCCACTGCATATAAGTTGTAGTTTTGTATTTACATGTGATCTCTCCATTTTCTTTTTCTGTTCTTTTAGTTCTTTAAGGTGTAACTCTTGAGACACTTTCTGTGCTGCCAATACATACTACAATCTTTCAGATGTCAGCTTATGCCCTCTGGTCAGGCTGATATTTCTTCAGAACCATGGAAGTCCAATGAGTGAATCTGTATGCGATGCCTGTAGATTATGTGCTAAAATAGCTTCATGTTCAAATTGCTCTCCTTATTCTGGTTATTTAACCTTATTGCAATGATGTTAAAATTATTTCACATGCACATAGCATTCAGTTATGTCGTGATCTTACTGCAACCCCAGCTATTGCTTCTCTAGCCTTTTATTCTCACTTGTACATCCACTCAACTTCACTGAGGCTGAGAAGTAACTGGCACTTGGAAATTTCAGAAGGTTCTCTAAATGGATATTTTAGTTTGAATAGTTAGGATTTCTACAGTTTTCATGTTGAACTATTCAATCCATGAAAATAGAATTTCTGGCACAGCATCCTTGTCAAGCTTCTGCAGGCCAGCAGAACTAAGCACTAGCGGGTTTTCTTTTCTTTTTTCATTATGAGAGCAGTAGCGGATTTTCTTTGGCGTCTTAGGATTGAGTGGGAAAAGGCAGATCAAAGGCGAGGCATCCAGATTTACTTACATTCATGGTTATTGAACCAACAAATAGAAGGTTCGAGTTGAAATCATATTATTTCAAGCCTAAGCGCTGGCCTTTTCTTTTTCTTTGATAAGGCACTCATTCTAACACGATGAAAAATGAGAAAGTAGGAAATTGCACAGAAACTCAGAGTATAGAGTCCCATTCCCTTCTAGCCTGCTTGCTTTGAATTCTTGACGCTGGCTCTGATTATTTTAGAAGAAGAATTACTATTAACTAGTTGGTTGGAAGTTATTATGTTTCGAGTTTCGTCATAACAATAGTAGGCAGGAGTATTTGCCAAGCTATGAATTTTCTTCCGCAAATAAACTTGCTGGTAGCATGTGCAAGCAAAAATTGCCACTCAAAAGACAACAGCCACAGTTGTGAGTATCCTCCTCCCACAAAACTCCCAATAACTCCGCCACTGCAGTAGGCATTGTGTACATCAGGCCTCATAATTGTGGTGTCTCTCCTGATCTACAAACTTATTTCTTATGTCAAACGGAAAGTTGAAGGTCCATTTGAGGGGTGAGATACGAGACAGTATTGCAAGTAACAAGCACTAACAGTTTCCGTAGGGAATACAGAAGAAAAATCTAGGATATCACCGGTTATATCTTCTTAAACCAGTGCTTCCTTTCAGGGAATGCTACACATCTATTCTAATTACAGATACAAAAGAGAGCAAAAAAAGGATAACCATAGGTAGAAACAATTGGATGGTTAATCTTTCAGTCACTAGTTTTTGTTCTTACACTTGTTTTTGGCCCTTGGAGCTGCAAAGCAAGAGAAAGAAAATCATTTAAAACCTACTTTAAAGCATATAATAATTTAGCAATTATACAGGAGGGAAGAGGAAGTGCTACATAGCGTGGACACGATCACACTAATAGGACATACCTAGCCCAATTGCCTCCGAGCTTTTCATGATCCGCAATCTCTTGCATGAGTCTATGAACATCCTATAATAATATCCAAATAAAAAAATGAGTGGTGCAATGCAACAAAAGGATCATGTTATAGATTCCTAGATCTGGATACTGAATTGAGGATCTAAGACACGGGGAACAGAAAAATAAACAACGAAGAGCCCCATCAGAAGCCATTTAAGAAAAAGTAAAATGGAAAACAACCAAATCAACAACAAGCATAAATATTTAGTAGATGATATATCCTTTTTGCACTAATGCTATGGTACATACTAAGCAATTCCCTCCAAATACAAATTGCCAATAAAATTACTCGACTCAGTAGTAAAATATAATCTTGTCTTCTTAAATGTTTGGCAGAAGATTGTGGAGTGTAGTGAGATGGAACAAGAACTTACTCCCATGGAACGTCGCCAACAAGCATCCAGTCACCATCTTTGTCTTCATAAGTGAGCACATACTCGGAACCATTGAGAAGATCCATCAAGTGACTTTCACTAAGTTCCTCCTGCCCTGGAAGTCTATCACTGCCGCACTGCCCTGAATAATAGCCACACAATTATGTATCAATTAGACATATACACGACCTCAAGACTCAAGCCAAAATACTAGCAAAACAAACGCCCACAAACAACAATAATTCTCAGAGTTCCGGTTATCAGAAAAACAAGGGGCTAAAGTGGTTGGATAATGAGAAAGACTGTTCAATTTACATCCTGTTGTTTGGTGCCTAAACAAAAACTTTTGAGTTTAACTTCTTTAGTCTATCAGGTTAATATGACTTACAACAAGTAACTTTCTATGATAAGCATAGTTTGATAAATTTGAATCAAAGATTGAGCTTTTCCTCCTAAAATCTTGCATGAATATTGTTGTTTGCATACTATAAAGAGAGAAATTATACCAATACTAAAGCAGCTGAACATCTTTTCAAGTGCTGATGAGAGCTCCCCATAGTTGCTGTAAGTTTTGATATCAACCTTTCTCAAATATGGAGCACCATCCATTCTAACTTTAACATATAGGCAACTTGAACCTGATTTTCCTTCAACATCATTCTTTTTGGTGGCCAGTGTATTTTTGCGAAATGATCTAATTGGTGGCCATCCTACTACTTGTGCCCTAATTCACAACATATTAAAAAAAAAAAAAAAGCAAAAATTTGTACCCCCAAATTAACAAAAACGCCAAAAAATGTTAAAGTGACCATAGTAAAATTAACTCTACAGAATTCAAGAAACAGATAAAGTTACTAACTTTGAAGTCTGAGGAGCACTATTTTCATTTGCTGGAGTTGGTTTTGAGCTTCCATTACTTCCTTTAGCGGAAAATAACAAGTCTTCTTTTCTCCAATCAGTTTCTGATCTACAATTAATGGACAAATCCCATTTTCCAGAAGCATCAATGGCATCAGAAAAACCCCTTTTGGTTCTTGATATTAAATTGTTTGAAGGGTTAAGACCCGTATTTGTTTCCTCGGTACCCGGTAACCCAAGTCTTAACTCAGTCTCCTTAAGGTTAAGAACATCACTATTTTTATCAGAATTTCTCTCCATTAAAGAAGCTTCTGATAAACCTATATAATCATGTTCTAATGGTATAGACATAGAAGCTGAAATAGAAGTTGAAATCCCAAAAACAAGAATTCAAGAAACTATGGAAGAGATGAAAAAGAAGGAAATTTTTAAGTGAGTAAAAGAAGAGATAGTATTGGTTTTGTTGGTGCAGAAAAGAAAATTTCTTAGGTCCTTTTGTAGGCTTTACTTTTGGAATAAATGAACTGTAAGTGTAACAGTGGAAAAACTATTCCAGATGCTTATCTAAAGGTGTTTTGTGAAATACTATTAGTAGTAGTAGCTTTGTTTTAGTGCAATTGTTTAAAGCAAATAGTGATTAGATAGAGATAATTTGTTTTTATTTGGAAATTTGGAATCTTTGGTCGGAAAAAGTAATAATGATGATTTCAACTTGTCCACTTATAACCAACTCTGTTACACAAATTCCGTTCACAACTATTGTTTTATGACAACACAAGTGTTAGATGAAACGGAAAAAGGTCAAATATACCCCGTACTATCAGAAAATTTTGAATATACCTTTTATTATATTTTTTGTTTATATTTTTTTATGTCGTTATACTATTGGTTTAAATATATTCTTTTTCGTTAAGTTTGTTTAAAGTGGACATTCAATTCTACGTGGCACTGATATTTGATAAGGTGGATGCCACATGGTTTCCTACCATTACTGCTACATTGAAAATAGTATTTCAAATTTTAGTCTTTTATATATGGATTAGGGGCACTGAGGTTGCATGCCATGTGACATCCATCTCATCAAATATAGGCCCCGTTTGGCCATGAGTTTTCCCAAAATAAATTTGGGATTTATTTTCAAAACTCATGTTTGGACATAAATTTTGCTCATATTTTGGCCAAATCTCAAATCCCAAATTTCAAATCCCAAAATCAGCTATTGAGCTGATTTTGGACCAAAATCCCAAAATTTGGGAATTATATACATGTTTTTCCAAAATAAAGTTGGAAAATATATTTTGAAAACGTATGTCCAAACACATTTTCATCTTCAAACCAAATTTCACCCAAATCAAATTTTTCAAAATAATTTTGGGATCTATGGCCAAACGCTATAGTGTCACGTATGATTGGATGTCCACCTTGAACAAACTTAATAGAAGAAATGTATATTTGAACCAATAGTGTTACAGCAGGCATATATTTGGACCCAAATTATAATAAAAGTTATATTTAAACCTTTTCTCATAATACATGAGTATATTTGGCCTTTTGCTGTTGATGAAATACCAATTCCTCCTTCAATTTTTCTTTAGGTGTAAACACCAATTTTAAAACACACTAAAGTTTTTTGTCCTTAAACTATAATAAGTTTAATAACAGCCACGACTCGTCATAAGTTTTAATACGTCCTTTGTTTTTTCTAGGGCGTATAAAATGGTATAATAATTAGTTCAATATTATTTAAAAAGTCTAACAAATTATATTCTGTTACTCTTTCAAATATTTTTTATTAATATCTTGTACGACATTTTTATCCCAATTTCTAGTTTGTAATTTGATTTCTAGAAAGTTAAAACAATTCATTTTCCAATAATTTATTTTCATCTTCCAGTACACACCAAAAATTAATTTTGTTGTCGGTACAATTGACAAAAAAAAGATATTTTTTTATAGACTACTATATGTTAATGTAATGTACTAGGTGACCTACTTTAATTTTCTTATTATCAATTTCACTTTTTTTTTTTGAATAGTCATGGGTATAATTGTCTTTATATGAGGTAATAGTGTAAAATAAATTGACATACGTAAACGTTAACTTAAATAAAAAGACATGCCTAATTTAACTCACTCCTTTATTCACCCGCCAAAACCTTTTCTTTTTTCTTTATTTTCGCCATGCATGAGGTAACTAACCATTTAAGAGGCAAAATACAAAATTGATCTGTCGAAATTAAGTACAATCTCTAGCAAAAAGTATACAAAATATATACATTATAAATATTACTTATATACATATATACACAAAAAAACAAAAGACAAAAAAATTCCTTTTGTTCCAATTAGATGACACATTTCGCTTATCGAAAGTTAATTTGACTAAATTTCGAAGCTAAATTGAATTAGCTCAACTTAATATTTTAAAATTAAAATTTAGATATTCAAAAACAATATTGAAAATACTATAAGTTGGAATTTCTAATGTTAATATGATATAAAATAGATTTTAAAATATTGGTCAAATTTTATACAGTTGGACTCTGGATAAGCCGAATATTTATTGCCACTAAAAATATAGTAAATTCCTTGTATAAAAATGACTCAAAGAAAAAGAGAAACAGCTGTGCTGCTAGCAGATAGAGAGACAGCGATGGATCAAAATATTAATTATTTCTTTTCTCAGACGAGTCAATTTTGATTTCTGTGATTTGTCATCAAGGAAGAAATTTCAAAGGGGAAATCAGGGAACAATCGAAATCAATGAAAAAAAACAGATAATTTAATACGCTTTTATTGAAGAAGACAGAAATTATAGAATTGATGGAAAGGCTGACACAAAACGTAGAACAATCACCATATATATAAAAGGAAAACGATCGTACATCTCTCCTTTTGATCAGTAAAATTGTCGCCGCTGAAGAGGTTTGTTTTTATTCTGCTAATTTTTCTTACACAAAAATAAAGCATATGATTCTTTTTTCCTTTTGTTTAAAGGGGCTTTGTCATTTCGTTGTTCTTCTTAATTCATTGATTCTTGTAATAGCAGAGAGCTTCTTTGTTGTTTTTTTTTTTTTTTTAACTTTTACTGAGGCCTCTCTTTTTACTGCACGCTTGTGTCGATTGTAATTATTGAGCAAATCCAGTAAATTAGCAAAGCGTGCATATGTTCTTTTAAGACAGAGGCATATGTAGTGTTATAGTATCGGGTTCATCTGAATTTAGTATTTTTTGACATAGAATATAAATTTAGTGTAAAAATTTATTAAAATTACAATACATAATGGGTCTGAGCCTAGCTATAGCTTTAAGAATATAATAAGTTCAGTATTAAAAATCTTAAATGCTGAACCCATATAGTTTAAATCCTAGACCGCCTCTACTTAAAGACTAAGCAATGTCCATGCACAATAGCAATATTCCTAAGGTAAAGCTATGTACATTAGACCTAAGTAGTCCTGCCTTTTGCTGAATTTCGCATATAGTGAGAGCTTAGTGTACCGAGTTACACTTTAAATAGTATATATCTCAGGAAGTAAAAAAGAGAGCGGTAACTTAAGTTAACAACTTCACTGGAGCAGCGAAAGTTCATGATCTTATTGCCCTACGATTTCCACTATTGGTGGCAAAATAGATAAAAGAAAATAATTATCCATCCATATTATCTAATTAAAAAATAAATTGGATAATGAACTTTGTAAAAACGGATCAAATATGGATAAGAACCATATTATCCATTTAGAAAAATAGATAACCATTAGATAACTAATGAGTTAAACTTTTACATTTTTAAGCTTCAAATTGGGAGTTCATCAAGTTTGAGAGACTAAAAATTCTCTCAAAAGTGATCATATTCAAGAAGCCATGAATAATATGGATACACATAGTATTCGCCGGTTAACTCATTTTTTATCCATATTAAATATAGATTTGGTTGAATAATTTATTCGTTTTTACATTTACCCGTTTTCAATCTGCTCATATCCGACCCGCCTCACCTGTTTGTCACCCCTACCACTGGCCAAACCATTGCACTCTATGCTCCAAACTAGAGTTTTTATTCAAAGTGGGCATAAAACAGTTGGTGTAGGTTGAACAGGAAACGCAACACAACTGATTCCTTTTTTGTTTTTTGTTTTTTTTGAAAAGAGTATATTGGTAATGAACTTTATAGGTTGAATAGGTTCTCCCACCTCATATGGTAGTCTTTTGATTAATTAGGGTTTCTATTTAGTCTATCAGAGTAGATTGATGAACGCTTGAGAGCACAACGCGAAGTGGTGGCATGGTAGATGTATGAATCAAAATTAGGTCTAGTTAAGCGAATGCAGACGGACGAGCTGAGGCCGAGGTCGAAACCAAGCACGCTCCCGTGACGAGGAGTCGCTCAAAGTAGGGGTGTTCAAAACCGAACCGAAACCTAAAAAACCAAACCGAAACCGAAGCTTAATGGCTTATTGCTATCAAGTTAATGGTTTAACGAACGGGTAACAGAGTGAATTTTTTTTTATTAACGGCTTATCGGTTTGGGGCGGATTATTCAATTTTCTTAACGAATAATCCGTTAACCCATTAAGTATATATACATATAAAATTTATTTTTATCCATATATATATATATATATACACACACACACACACACACACACACACACACACACACTACTAGAATTCCGGAAAAAAGCGACCAAACTTTAGCGACCAACGTTGGTCTCTAAATTGGAGAAAATAATAAAATAATTATTTTAAATACATTAGCAACCAAAGTTGGTCGCTATTTGGTTAATAATTTCGTCAAAATGTTGACCGGACTGGTCAGACTTGCTTGGTCAAAGAAATACTGAGATTAGCGACCAACGTTGGTCGCTAT